ATTTAGAATTTCAAAAGATTAATGTAACTCAAAATATTAATGACCATATCATCACATAAAAGATTGGGAAAGACAACAACTAAAAAGAAGATGGATTATGTTATCATTTTCAAAAATGCCAGGCATGAGTAAAAGATAAATGAACATTCTTTCACTTTCTGGGTAGTTTAATATCTCTTATGTTCTAGGACATAGGTGGGAATGAATACTCGAAATACACTGTTACAAATTGTCTGGCGACTGCATCAGAAGAAGCCAGTTCGAATGATTGTTAAGACCAACAGACTCTAGAGTCTAGTTAAGTTACAGAGAAGCAGGACTGGGCCAGTCAGCCCTTTTGGCTTATTCAAATAGATCATGACTGATCTGTACAGCTCCGGTTATTTGCCTTTTCTCTATACCTTTATCTAACAAAAAAAATTAATCTCAGTTCTAGTTTTAATTTATTCGTATCCTAGGTTCAAAATTCACCATGGCAATAGAGGAATTTTAGCTTTAATAATTACAAACAATATTTTTAATAAAGGTCTATCAATAATAGGAAAACCCATCTGGTTCACTAACATGCTTTATCCTCTCTGTGCTTATATATGAGATTTCAGACCCAGAGCAATGTGGTTTACTTGTAACCTACTGCTGAAATAGCTTAGGAGCTGCTTATTTGCATTCAGGAAAGTGACTCCCCAACACCTTCTCAAGGGCATTTTTAAATGGGAAGTAATTTGTGGTGTTACCACCAATGCTGACAGTGCATGTTTTTTTTTTAAATTTCATGTTCTTTTGTGGAAGTGAGACCCAGATTGCTACAACTGTTTTTAAAGAAGAATAAACTTCCTGATTTCACTTTTTAACTGGGTTAACTCAATTTACAACCATGGCCTCTTGCTTTTGATTTCTTAGCAAAAGAAATTCCTTTATGAATTTAAATATCTTGTTTAAATTATCTCTCAGTCCTCTAAACTGAAGGGAATACAGGCCATAATTATGCACCATACTTCAAGCTTTTAGCCTGTAGTATTCTTTAAGTGAATCTATGCTTTTCCCCTTCTGAAACCGGTAATTCTTTCCTGAGATGGAAACCAAAGCTAAATATCTGACCAACTAAAGCATAAGTTGCTCATTTTTGTATCTTTTCATCATGTAAAAAAAACTCTCTGTCCTTTGTGTTGTACAGATTGCAGAAATAAATTATACAATACACATATAAACCTAGAATTTTCCTGTAACAGAAGTATATGAGCCATACAAGAGAGTGAACCTTCATGTAAAACCTAGGGTAGCTACGGTTCTTTGAGGGGAACAGCAAACCTGTAATTCACAAACTTTTTTCTCTTGTGACCCAATTTTGAGGCTTGAAAACTGTTGAAACCCCTCAGGAAGGAGTGAGAGAGGAGAAGAGATTAGAGCAGGGGGAATCTCCAGCTTGATCTCACTTGAGGTCCTGCACTCTACTTTTGAAAACCTGGCTTTAATAGATGTGTATAGATTTTAAATCTACCTACATTTCATGTATTGTACTTAACCCCATAATGGAAATCTTCCTCAAAACTTCCTTATGCTCACTCAGCAAGTACATCAGCTGGCTTGACTTGATCCAAATTGGCCTGAAATTTTGCAGTTTGATACTTTCAAAATGTAGAATTAGCTGATTTCAACATGGGCAGCAGCAAAGGTGTTTCTGTTGACCTAAGTATCCATAGAGTCTGAGATGCAGTGAGACACACAGAGTAGTTTAATCAGAGTTTCTGACTACTGATTGTACCTGAACACTATACAGTAGTCATATTGGGAAGAGCACATCTTTGGAACTTGTGAGGATAGGGATAACAGTGATATTAGCTTATACAGACAGTGCTCAACTTCAGCTGGAATATTCTGTCTTGTTCTGCCTTCTACATTTTAGGAAAAATCTGAAGGCAGTAGAGGGTGCATAGAAAATGAGAATGGTCCAAGGAACAAGGAACTTCATTTATGTAGAGATAACAAGGTGTAGAACTGGCTGAACACAGCAGGCCAAGCAGCATCAGAGGAGCAGGAAAGCTGACGTTTCGGGTCTGGACCCTTCTTCAGAAAAAATCATTTATGTAGATAGGTTGGAAGAAGTGGAATTGCTTTCTTTGGAAAAGAGAAGGCTAAGAGGAGATTGTTAAAACCCATGATTATGAGTACTTCAAGCAATCTAGATAGAAAACAAACTGTTCCTATTGGAAGAATTGAGAACAAGAGGGCACAGTTTTAAAATAATGAGCGAAAGAAGCAACATTAGGGAAGATGTTTTTGAGCACTATGTAGTTAGATTCTAGAATACAGTGCCTGAACAAATGGTGAAGAGAAGTTCAATTGGAGGCATTCAAAAGACAATTGCAATGTTAACAGAAAAGAGACAGTGTGCAGATTTTCAGGCTAAGGGCAAAAGAACGATGCTTGATAAATTACAATGTGGAGAGCTGGTACAGAAATGACAGGCTGAATGGCTTCCTTCTTTGTACTGTAATGATTTTGTGGGTCTGTGAAATAGAATGCTCACCATCCTGAGTCTCACATGAAGAGGAGCTGCTGCTTCACCTGGAACCATGTTCTGTTACAGATCTCCACTTTCAGGATTGAAAAATTGCATATTGAAGAGAGAAAGAATCCTTGGTTCAGCAAAAAAAAACAAAAACTGCAGATGCTGGAAATCTGAAACAAATACAGAAATTGCTGGAGAATCTCAGAAGGTTTGGCAGCATCTACGGAGGGAAAGCAGAGTTAATATTCCGAGTCATCGAGTTATTGAGTCACATAGCACAGAAACAGACCCAACTCATCCATGCCAATCAGGTTTCTTAAACTGAATTAGTCCCATTTGCCTGTGTTTGGCCCATATCCCTCTATAAATCTTTTCTATTCATGGACCCGTCCAAAAGTCTTCCAAATGTGGTAAATTTACCCATCTCCACCACCTCCCTGGCAGCTCGCTCCACACGTGCACAACCCATTGTGAAAAAGTTGCCCATCAGATCCTTTTTAAATCTTTTCCCTCTCATCTTAAACCTATGCCCTCCAATTTTGAACTCCCCTACCTTTGCCATTCACCCTATCAATGCCCTTCATGATTTTTTAGACCGCTACAAGGTAAACCCTCAACTTCCCACACTTAAGAAAATGAAGTCCCAGCCTATCCAGCCTCTCCAGCCTCTCCTCACAACTCAAACTCTCCAGTCCCAGTCCAATGACCTTTCTTCTGAACAGACCCTTCTGCAAATAATAGTCCAGCAAACCTCTTGTGAGTTTTGTAACTATCGTGTTACATAATTGTGCATAAAAGTTTAGTGTAGGTAGTTGAAGTAAGACCAGAATGTTTGAGCATTGATTACAATGGATACTTCTGATGAACTGATTGTGATATTTTAGGAAAGCTTTTCCAGTTGTGTTGCTTGCTTTAGGCAAAAAGATTGAGGAGAGTAATGACCAATTCTTGGCTGACTGCGATTAAGTGGAATACCAGCTGAAGTGGTGCTTCTTTCCTCTTTTGTCTTCAAATTTCATACCTCCTTTTCTCTTTTTAACACATAGCTAAGCAATGGGTCTGAAGTGATTTATCATTTTTTGTGTTTATGCCAATGTGGCCTTTATGCATGGGTAATTCTGACAGTGTGGTGGTATTCATTCTGAGATCAAGTTGTTGTGCTTTTATATGCATGTTGTAGTCTGGAGCATGGTAATAATGGTAAAGGCTCAAATGTTCTTTCCATCACATGGCTGACCATGAACCTCTTCCACTTTTACTGCCTGCCATTGGATTGTATTGAGAGGATTTGCAGTTTAACACTCAACCTGTCTGGCCATGTTAGAATGCCATCTTTAGCCATCAAGTCCTGGGGTAGCACTTGACCCTCGAACATCTGGGTTGGAGGGAGGGATGTTACCCATTGATCGCAGGACTTTCTCCTGACAATGCATCAGCTGACTGGCTATCTCCAGCTAACAATGAGACCTGACTACAACCAAAGTCCACTTGTATATTTCCAGCAGGGGTTAATAAATGAATCAGAAGCAAATTCTTGTTGGGAAGCCCGTGGTATCTCGGTCCCTGCTGAGATCAGCATCAAACCAGAGATTCGTGTTCAGCTCTTTCTGGCCAATATTTCTTTAATGACAGCCACCCAACCATGTGTTAAAATTAAATGTTCATTTACTCTGTAACCCTTACATGGTCTTTCTGGCCTTGTGATGTAATGTTTGCCTGATAGAATAACGAAACTATTGGCAACAAGTACATCTGACCTTGATGAAAATTACAGATGATAAAAGTCACTGCAGACAAGGAGAGTCAGCCAATTCGCAGTGCAATGTTTTTACTTCACAAATCCTTTTTGCTGTACTTCTGGTGACCAGGCCTTCACTCTCCTGATTATGCTTTCTAATTCCCTTCCAAACCTCTGTTTCCTTTACCTCCTTTTCCTTTAAGGCCTTCCTTAAAATGCACGTTTGTCTAAAGTTTACATAACCTCCTATTAAAACCTGGTCACATAATGATGTCTACATGGCTTTACTTCTGTGAAGCGTGCTAGAATGTGTTATTACATTAACACTTCAATATAAATAAAGCATAGTATTGCCAATGATTAAAATAAGAAGGACACTAAGATTGAAATTAACTTCTGGTATTCACAAAACCAATCATGTTTTGTGAGAACATCATAATGTTCTGAATAATTAGTCATTATTCAGATGCTAAAATTCCCTCAGTGATGAGTTCTTCCTTGAAGTGCTCAATGTTATTTCATCAGTGAGATACATTTTCCCTTTTTTTCTATTTTCCTCTTCATTCCCAATTAGGAAGGCATCCACATTATATTTTATGTCAATCAGCTGGTTCTAGTTCTTCTAAGACAATGTAATAACATTCCCCTTTTTGAATGCATTATGAATGAAATTTAAGTAGCAGTTGGAGGATAATGCCTGACCTGACTGGTCTGTTGCTATTTTGAACCATCCACTTTTTGTCCCCTTAATAGATGGAGGAGGATATGACATTATCAATACTGAAGTGATTGCAACACCAGACGTTCGAGAGTACAGAGTGAGCTATGGTTCTCTGAAACAAATCTGGGAGATGAATTATCAGGAAGCAGCAATCTACTTACAGGTATGGAACCTTTTTACAACTAATGATCCTGCTCCAGTTACGCTATTAAAAATGAAGAGTATATCAGTATGAATGAAGTGTGTATAAGCAAGATAACATGGTATTGTTGCTGTTGCAAAATTGATACTATAGCTTTTATTTAATGAAAGCAAAATTATTGAGCTTTAATTACAGATAATCTGGCCATAATGATCTTGCATCTGTTCTGGTCCTAACTGATCTCAGAGCTCGACTTCTATTCCATGTATTTTAAGTTTAAGCTTCTTAACCTAGTTCATAATCTCTGAAGTACTGGTTTAATTTGGTGAAGGTGGTATTACATATATATTTTTCTCATTGATTAATATATTGTACTTGTCAAGGTAAGTTATTTAAGTGCTGAAGAATGGAATTTTAAATATGTTTCTTTTAAAACCTGCAGTATTTCTAGTTGCACTTCTGATCGTTGCAAGGTAGTTAAAAAACAAATCAGATGCAGAGTGAGGCATCCACTTTTCTTTCCTCTATCAGCATGAGAATTTCACATTGTAAAAGCTTAACTCTAATTACGAATCAACCTTTTCGTTTGTCTCAGCAAAGTTCAGCAGTTTGCTCCATATTAAAGATAGCTTAATGCTATCACATTGCTAACACATTGCTACTACAAACTGGGTGTTGTCTGACTGGAACCTTCACAAATACAGAGAATGAGGTTTTGATCTTGGGGCTGAATTCAAAATCAAATCCCAAAGGTAAAAGGGTATTGTAATCCACACCATCAAAGCAGTTTGTTTCTCCGTTATGTCTTTTTTAACAAAATTGGAAAGTTTAGTTTACAATTTTTTCGAATTTTTTTTCAGTCTTCAATAATCAACCTTATATTGTAATGGAACAAAAGATGGTACTTTAACAGGATTGATTTAATGTATTCCTGATGTTGTTGAAGTTAACGGAAAGGACTTCTGAGGAGGTCCTGGTTACAACAATGACATAAGTAGCCCCAAAAATGCATCTCAGTAGGAGATCATCTATTTTTTTTTCCAGAGAACTACCGACTAAATCAGAACCTACAGATGATGAACAAAGTTACAATTTAATTATGTAAAAGAATGCATACTATTTATTTTACTTTATGAGAATACAATTGGCAAACATTTAGCAGTCTTCCACATAGATTTTAAGTAAACATGTTTTTCCTAAATTATAATTGAAGTGATCCAGCCAAATATCTTCTGTGCTACATCAGTTATCAGATGTAATGCATACAACAAAATTCCATTTTAAAAAAATATTTTATTGTCTGTTCATTATTTAAATTGACTTTTAATTTTTCAAATAAAACAATTTGCTGCAAAAATTATTAACATTCAGTATATTTGTTATATTTAGAATGATGTGCTGTTCCATTAACCTTTCACTTTTATTTCAGTTATTGGTTTCAAGATGACTCAATTACAGCAAGATGATGTGCTGATGTGTCAAACATTCAACATAATACCTGAAGCTGTGCACAAGGTGCAAATAAAATATTGGCAAATATTAGGAGAATCTATACATATTTTGTTTTAAAACTGCCTATGAAGCCAGGTTTCCTGTACAAGTTTGTATTATGCAATTGCAATGCCAAGAAAATTAAGATTCCCAAGGTGTATAGAATTTGTTATATAATTATTATTTTTGAAATTCAGCTCCTTGCTGTAAAAGTGACTAAATAACATTATTGAAACAAAAAGCCCTGCAGTGTCTTTAAAACCAGATCAAAATGATTTAACCAATTTATTTAACCCTTTGTCTGCAGGTCTTGTTTTGTTGATGTTTTGGCACCAAGAAAAAACGAAGGGCACATTTGATTATGATGACATTGCTAGGATGAAATCAGAAGTGTAACTTTATATTTTGGTTGCTGTTTAAAGGTGAAATTTTTGAAGGACAAGTTTGTTTCTGTTGCTGTGCTGTGAATAGAAAGTGTCATAATTGATTACTCAGCAGTAAAAATAATAATGTTCAAGCTTTCTTTTTATTTTGTCACTTGCAGGAGGGAGAAAATAATGACAAGTTCTTCACTCACCCAAAAGATCAAAAAGCCCTTGCAGCCTACCTCTTTGTGCACAATCACATATTCTATGTGATGGAGCTGATTTCTGGAGTGCTGTTGCTGATACTCTCCTTATGTGAAGCTCCAGCTGTTCCCTCGCTCCGTCTCGACATTTATGTATGTTTTGTCTTCACATCTTTTGAGAATTTTTAGCTTAGACTGTTTCTCTTCCAAGTATTTGTTAATGTGTCATGCCTGAATTCATCCTTGTACAACGAAGGTTGTTGATAGGACTTTAAACTCATTACTGGGGGTGAGGATTCAATTGAAGAGAAGTTTAGGAAGAAAAACGAGAGAGCAGATGTGCATGGTAGTGAAGAGGTAAATGATCATCAGTGTTATGGGAAGAGATAGAATGTATAAGCAGAAGAGTAAAACAGTAATTAGATCCAGAATAAGTAATAATGATAAAATGTCAAAGCTTAAGGCTCTTTATCTGAATGCACATAGCATTTGTAACAAGATAGGTGAGTTTATAGCACAAATAGATGAATATGACTTGGTAGCTATTACAGAGACGTGATTGCAGGGTAACTAAAAACTCAATATTGAAAATATTTGATATTCTGGAAATATAGGTAAAGAGGAAAATGAAGGGGTATCATTGTTAATAAACAAAGCTATCAGTGTGGTACTGAGTAGTGATATAGGTGCAACAAATTGCATTATGGAATTGGTTTGAGTGGAAATCAGGAATAGCAATGGAAAGAAGTCGCGAGTGGTGGAGATCAATAGGCTTCTAGAGAGTTGTTTCACTATAAGACAAAATATAAATCAGGAAATATTGGGGAATGGAAGAAGGGGACTACAGTTGTCATGGGTCATTTTAATCTGCATATTGACTGGATAAATCAGATGGGCAAGGGTAACATGGAAAACGAATTTGAAGAGTGCTCGGAGGTTGTTTCTTAGAGCAATATGTTGTAAAACCCACCTGGGAACAGTTTGTCTTTAAACCTGGTAATGTGTAATGAGGAAGGATTAATTAAAGATCTCATAGTTAAGGATCCTCTAGGGGGTAGAGATCCCAAGATGGTAGAATTTCTTTTTCTTTTCTTTTCAGGCATCAAGCCCTACAAGATGCCACAACTCAGAGAAATCCATGGCCGTCTGGAACCTTCCTCCCCTCCCTTTCCCTCTGACTCCATCCCCTTACCCAACCCCACCTCCTGTTGGGTATTCAGCATTCCACCTAACCTTCTGTTCTCCGATGCTGAACGTTCTGTACTTGGCAAAGTTCTCAGCTTTATCCCTCTGCATCCCCACTTTAACGAATTTCAAGCACGACATGATATTGAACTTTTCTTCCGCCGTCTTCACCTCTGTGCCCATTTCTTTGGACAAGAGTCCTCTCCCCATCCCACAGACCCCTTCCAACACTCTCCCTCCACCTGGACCTCTCCCTCTGGCCTTTTACCTGCACTCGATCTGTTCACTGAGAACTGTTGACGTGACAATGGTCGCCTCAATTTCTCTGCCTTTCCCTCACTCAATCCAAGCTATCTCTTTGCGAACTGACTGTATTCTGTGAGCTTAGATCCAACCCTGACTTTAGTATTAAGACTGCCGATAAGGGTGATGCTGTTGTAGTCTGGCATACTGACCTTGACATTGCTGAGGCTGCGTGCCAGCTCTCAGATACCTTCTCCTATCTTCCCCTGGACCATGACCCCACCATGGCACATCAGGCCATTGTATCAACTATAGTAACTGACCTCATTTTATCTGGTGATCTCCTCCCCACTGCCTCCAAGCTGATAGTCCCCAGAACCACATAGCTCGCTTCTACCTCCTTCCAAAAACCCACAAACAGTACTGTCCAGGCAGACCCATTGTTTCAGCCTGCTCCTGCCCCACAGAAGTCATCTCTTCCTACCTTGATTCAGTCTTCTCCCCCCTGGTACAGTTCCTGCCCATGTAATCCATGGTTCCTCTGACACTTTACGCCAGTTTCAAAATTTCCAGTTTGCAGGCTCCAGCTTCCTTCAGGAGCAAAGGCCTGAACTGTCCCCACCCACCACCACTCTCCTCCACTTGGCCGAGCTTGTCCTCAACCTCAACAACTCTTTTAATTCTTCTCATTTTCTTCAGGTCACAGGGGTGGCCATGGGTACCCTCATGGGCCCCAGATATGCCTGTCTCTTTGTAGGGCACATGGAACATTCCTTGTTCCAGTCCTATTCTGGCCCCCACCCACAACTGTTTCTCCTATATATTGAATATATCATTGGTGCTGCTTCCCTCTCTCGTCCAGAATTGGAAATGTTCATTGATTTTGCTTCCAATTTCCACCCTGCCTCACGTTCACCTGGTTTATCTCTGACTCCTCCCTTCCCTTCCTCGATGTCTCTATTTCCATATCTGTTGATAGACTGGTCATTAATATCCACTATAAAACCCCACGCTCCCACAGCTACCTGGACTATACATCCTTGCACCCCGCATCCTATAAAGACTCCATTCCATTCTCTCAGTTCCTCTGTCTCCGTCGCATATGTTCAGATGAGGCCAACTTTGACAAGGCAGCCTCTGAAATGTCCACCTTCTTCCTCGACCGAGGATTCCCCAGCACCGTTGGCGACAAGGCCCTCAACTGGGTCTGACCCATCTCCCGTATTTCTGCAGTCACGCACCCCCCCACCCCTCACACAGTAGCAAAAGGGCTCCCCTTGCCCTTACCAACCATCCTACCAGCATCCACATCCAGAAGATCATCGGAAGCCATTTCCGCCATCTCCAGCGAGATGCCACCACCAGATACAAATTCCCCTCCCCCCCACCTTGTTTGCCTTCTGCAGGGACTGTTCCCCTCTGGGACATCCTGGTCCACTCTTCCTTCACTCCAAACACCTCCCCACAGCCCCATGGCATGTTCCCCTGCAGCCACCGAAGGTGTAACACCTGCCCATTTACCTCCTCCCTCCCCAGTATCCAAGGGCCCTTCACCTGCACTTCCCAGAATCTAGTCCACTGCTTTTGCTGTTTACACTGTGGTTTCCTCTACATAAGAACATAAGAACTAGGAGCAGGAGTAGGCCGTCTGGCCCTTCGAGTCTGCTCCACCATTCAATACGATCATGGCTGATCCTTTCGTGGACTCAGATCCACTTACCCGCGTTCTCACCGTATCCCTTAATTCCTTTATTGTTCAAAAAAAATCTTTTTTTAAAAACATTTACTGAAGTAGCGTCAACTACTTCTCTGGGCAAGGAATTCCATAGATTAACAACCCTCTGGGTGAAGAAATTCCTTCTCAATTCAGTCCTAAATCTGCTCCCTCTAATCTTGAGGCTATGCCCTCTTGTCCTAGCTTCACCTGCCAGTGGAAATATTCTCTCTACTTCTATCTTATCTATTCCCTTCATAATTTTATATGTTTCTATAAGATCCCCCCTCAATCTTCTGAATTCCAATGAATATAATCCCAATCTACTCAGTCTCTCCTCATAAGCCAACCCCCTCAACTCCGGAATCAACCTAGTGAACCTCCTTTGCACCCCCTCCAGTGCCAGTACATCCTTTCTCAAGTAAGGAGACCAAAACTGCACACAGTACTCCAGGTGTGGCCTCACCAGCACCTTGTACAGCTGCAACATAACCTCTCTGCTTTTAATTTCAATCCCTTTAGCAATGAAGGACAAAATTCCATTTGCCTTCCTAGTTACTTGTTGTACCTGCAGACCTACCTTCTGTGATTCATGCACAAGGACACCCAGGTCCCTCTGCATAGCAGCATGCTGCAACTTTGGGGAAATGAAACGTAGACTGGTGACTGCTTCGCAGAACATCTACTTCTGCCTGCAAAAAAGACCCTGAGGTTCCAATTGCCTGCCACCTTAACACACCACTGTGTTCCCTGACCATTATCTCTGTCTCAGGATGCTGCAATGTTCAAAAGAAGCTCAGTGAAAGCTGGAAGAAAAACGCCTCATTTTCCGTTTGGGGACCCTGCAGCCCTCCGGACTCAATATCGAGTTCAATAATTTTAGGGCCTAAATTCTCCCATGTCCTAGCCGCCTACTCCACACACCAGGCATTGTTATCACATAATAAATAAAAACTGAAAGAACTGCGGATGCTGTAAATCAGGAACAAAAACAAAGTTGCTGGAAAAGCTCAGCAGGTCTAGCAGCATCTGTGAAGTTAAAACCAGAGTTAATGTTTCGCATCTGGTGACCCTTCCTCGTGGTTTGCCATTACACACTACCTAACAGTCTCCACTAACAGCTATTCACCCTCCTAGCCAGATCGTTATCAACTCCTTTGTCTATCTCTCTGTTTGGGCTATCACCATCTATTATTTACTCATTACCTCCTCCTCCTCCTCCTCCCCCCCTGCCCTGGCATCTTCTGCATATAAGCTGACATTTTAGCTACCATCAGTTTTGAGGAAGGGTCACCTGACCTGAAATGTTAACTCTGATTTTTCTTCACAGATGCACCAGACCTGCTGAGCTTCTCCAGCAACTTCTGCTTTTGCTGTTGTATAATTTCAAATGCAGTTTGCGATTGAGCAGTTTGAGTCTCACACCAGTGAACTCAAATAAAGGCAGTTACAGAAGCATAAAGAAAGAGTTGTCTGAACTGGGCTAGAAAAAGTGGCTAAGGGGAAGGTGAGTGGATGAGCAGTGGCAGACATTTATGCAAATATTTCATAATGCTGAGCAAAAATTAATTCCAGTTGAAAAGAAGGACTTGATGAGAAGGATTAATCACACAGGGTTATGACAGGTGGTCAAGGAGGATATCTAACGAAAAACTAAGGCATAAAAAGTGACAAAAGCTATGGTAGGCCAAATGATTGAGAATTTCTTAGGAATCAGCAGCAGATGACTAAAAAGCTAATAACAATGGAGGAAATTGATGATGAAAGTAAATTGGCAAAAAAGAGAAAATAAACAGCAAGAGATTCTACAGACATATGAAAAGAGAGTAGGTAAATGAATGTGGGATCTTTGGAGGATTTGGGAATTGATAGCAGAGAAATAGTAGATAATTTAAACCAATATATTTTGCATCAGTCTTAATGGTGAAGGGCACTATAAACATTCTAAAGATATCAAATAATCAAAGTGCTCATGGAAGGAAATAGTCTGAATTATGGTGAATAAAGTATT